GGTAATTTATGAATTGCTGTAGCAGTTTGTATCACTCGTCCTGTTACGCTGATTTTAGACACTAGATGGTTCTCGGAGTGCTGTTGCGTGTTAAAATTACCCTCCCCAAAGCATCCCAGACATGCTCTATAGAGTTGAGGTCAGGACATCTAGCTGGGAAATCCATCCAGGTTTCATTACATCTTCATTTTCTAGAAAGTGGTCGAACAAAAGTGCACTGAACGGTGGCGCATTGTCATCCATTAAAATGAAATCTTGACCTACTGGACTCCTGAAAAGTCAAACATTGGGCTCCATGACCTCGTCCCTATATATACCTCACATCTCTTTCACTGACTTGGAAAGGTGTGCGGGATTCCAGCATAATTCCTGCCCAGACCAGCAAAACCTCTGCTGTTATAACAATCAATTCCTCGGGCATTAGTGTGCATTTAGTAGATCCCTGGTTTTCTCCATATGAAGGAACGTTGAGAGTCAGTGGTCAGGCTGANTTATATATATATAATTAACGTGCTATTAATGTGCTGTTGTTGTTGTTATGGCTTATCCTCTAAATGTCTGGAAATGTCTATCAGACCGTTGACCCTAAGGACCAGATGAGTATATGTCCTCTATGGAAAGTCCCAAACAGTCCAGGATGTAATCGGGAGAAGCCTGCTCATTGCTATTATTGTGTAATGTGTCATTAACGTGTTGTTATATCTGGTACGTAGAAAATACCAGGTAACTGTTAATTAGGAGGTGGACCTTTACTTTAAACAAGCAGTAAAGTAACAGCAACCTTTAAAAACAACTTTGAAACAACTTTTTCTTGGAAGCAGTATTCTTAGCACTAACGTTTTCTTACGGTTAATATTCATTTCCCGGTATTCCCTATGCTGACATTTTTCCAAATATATCTTAAATGTGAAATTCGTAGAAACATTTGGGCAAAAAATTAAATAAGAAATAGAAAAAAAATTACCTTGATTAGTTAAAAAAAGAATGAATACAACAATATTTAAAAAAAAGTTAAAATTGTATCAAATTAATGTTTTTAAATAAATAAGTGTTTTATTTTTGATTTCCAAATTTTGAAATTAAAAATTAATTCCTTCTGATGTTCCTATTTCACAAAATTTTTTATTGTTCAATTTTTAGTGATTTTTTTTTTTCTAAATAACTTATTGGCGAAAAATTTAACTTTCTCAAAAACAGTGTTATTTGTTCAGAGACCTTGAATAAATATTTAAGTCTCTGATTTCGCAACTTCAATGATCGCTTTCACAAGTTCGTTTGTGTATCTTTAAGGGGTGTATTTATACTTAAGTGTTTTACATTGAAGTAAAATTCTTTACAGCCGACCCAATTTTGGATTTACGACAACTAATATTTAACTCCGTAGTCTTGTAAATTTGAACCCAATACATAAGACAATAAGACATCCAAGGGAATTCTTGGATAAATTTTTGGTATAAAATTGACGTAGTGGAGAATTTTAAGGCAACTAAACCACATTTGCGTTGCATGAAAAGAAAAACCACGAAAACTTTCTACCTTATGCTGACGGCAAGGGGACTGTAACCCATGACCCATTTACCACTGAAGATATCTTAAGGCAGCACTGTGGTCAGTGCGAGCCCGGTGTGGAATTCGAATTGATTAGTCACCGCTGTAATTCGAACCCGAGTCACCTCATTGGAAGGTGAACGCTCTATTCCCTGAGCCTCCACGACTCTGAAGTAAAATATTTCATTACCGTCGTTGAACAGCCGAACCAAACTTGAGTTTACAACTACCAATATTCAACTCCATAGCCTTGTAATTCCGAACTCAAATCCAGAGGAATTCTTGGATCAAGTATTGGGAGAAATTTGTCTTCGTGGAGAACTTTGTGAGGGAACTAAATCACATTATGGAACCCGTTAGATGGAAGAGAAAACTACGAAAATCTCCCACGGTTAGCCTAACGGCAAGGAGATTCTAACCCATGCCCGCACACCACTGAGGATATTTTTACGACAGCGTTGTGATCGGTGTCAAACTGGGTGCGGAATTCGTATCAAACTCTATTCTTTCAATTTTCCACTATCAATGAGCAGAAAAGTCTTGGGGAAACGATTTCTTTGGGCGTTTTCACTTCATAAGCTTGGATCATCTTAAACTCTGTATGAATGAAGAAAAAACTGACAGAACCATCAATTTTTTTCCAAATGGTCCTTGTACCATTTTCTGTAGTGAAAAAGGGATTCATCAAGGAGAATTGGAAGTGTATGTTGCATCCTCATGTAGAAAAAGGAGTCTCCTACATTAAGTGTCATCATATCTCCTATTAAATCTTCCTCAAGTGCCGTTTTAATTCATAATTTTTGGACTATTTTTCCGTCATGTTCATTAACTCATGATCTTGTTCGTACCGTTATTTTTTTGTTGAAACCACTTTTGTATTAGTTTGATGTACATTCATATAAAATGTCGCTTGATTTGGCTTACTAATGAGTTATTCTCAAAAATATGCTTGGTCTTTAACATTTGCCTGCTAGTGTATTTGTTTTAAATTTCTTCCTGAAATCAAGATAACGTTAAATCAGAGTTTGCAAGAAACGAGTTAAATTATCAGAATTCATCTTCTTATTAATTTATCAGCTTTAATTAAAGTATCAGTAATGTTATCAGTTAGGATCTAATATGTAGGAGATAGTGTACTTTTGGAAACATGAAACTTGCACCTTTTAAATATATGAGCCAGAATTTTTTCTGCTGTAGAAGAATTTTTTATTCAGTGTGTGTTGTTGATAAATGATGGAACAAAACAGTAGGCTCTATTAGACTGATCTTCAACTTAAGAAATTTTTAAATTTGGTAAAATATCGGCAGGACAGAATTCAATAAAGTTTGGTTTGAGCATTGGTTGATATAATACAAAATTAATAACCATTTAATATTTATAATATACACGCATGAGCATGCGTAACACTTTTAAGGGTCGGATGGTATCAAAGAGTGGTTTCAGAATTGAATTTTAAAAAAATCGTTTTATATGGGGTATGGCCCCTCGCACATATATCCAGGACTCTCATCGCGATTTCATTCCGGAAATAAGATAGTTTATGAATTGCTGTAACTGTTTGTATCACTCGTCCTGCAACGCTGTTTTTAGACGCTTGATGGTTCTCGGGGTGTTGTCACGTGCTACAATTTCCCTCCCCAAAGCATCTCAGACATCCTCTATAGAGTTGAGGTCAGGACATCTAGCTGGGAAATCCATCCAGCTTTAATTACATCTTCATTTTCTAGAAAGTGGTCGAACAAAAGTGCACCAAGTGGTGGCGCATTGTCATCCATTAAAATGAAATCAGGACCTCCTGAAAAGTCAAACATTGGACTCCGAAACCTCGTCCCTATACCTCACATCTCTCTCGCAGACTTGGAAAGGTGTGCGGGACTCCAGCATAATTCCTGCCCACACCAGCAAACCTCTGTCGTTATAACAGTCAATTCCTCGGGCATTAATGTGCAGGTAATAGATCCCTGGTTTTAACCATATGAAGGAACGTTGAAGAGTCAGTGGTCAGGCTGAAGCGGACCTCATAAATAAAGAGAACATTCAACCATTGCGCCATGCTACAATTTCTATGATCTCTGCACCATCATAATCGGACCCTTTTGTTGGCAAAAATCAACGGTACGAGAGCTGTAGCATCCCTTTTACACCTCACTGTAATCGATAAACACTGATCTTCGTTGATTGTTGTAGCTCTTGGTGGACCACAGCCAGGCTTTTGCTAACCTGATTCAGAATCCTGAAATTGTTTCCATAAATTTCGTACAACGATGTGTGTTAAACTGTTTTCTCAACAAATCTGGATTTGAAAGCCGCCGTGGTCAGGTGATAGAGGGTTCGTTCTTGAATGAGGTGATCAAGATCCGAATCCCAGTGACGGCTGGTTGATACGAATTATGCATTCGGCTCGCACATACCACAGTGCTAACGTAAAATATCGTCAATGGTTGACGGATTATGAGTTAGAATAACTTTGTTGTCTGGCTAATAATTGGAGGTTTTCGTGGTTTCTCCTCTCCATGTAACGCAATTGAGGGATAATTTTATCAAAAAATCCTACACGATGACTTGTTTGTCCCAATACTTGATTTAGGAGTGCCCTTGTCTTCTGAATTGGGTTCAAAATTACAGAGGTACAAAGTTGAATATTAATAATCTTAAACTCAGAACTGAGTTGGCTATTCAACGACTGTTTGAAAATATAATAAAATCTGGATTTTAGACTGGCCTGCTTTAAATATCCCTACAATACACTACCTCATACAATCATCTAAGCGTTGATGGGTACTTATTTTTGTTGTTCGAAATTAAATAATGAAATCGGTAAAAATATGCAAAAAAAAAGAAAAAAAACAAGAATTTAAAAAGATGTGTGAGCGAAAGAAATGCTGATTTTGTCATGAGTACATTTTAAGTCTATTTTTTCTTTCTACTAGCTTCGCCCCTACACACGCTTACGTATACGCTTGCGTATTCAACACGCAAAATTTGCATCTTGTGTCGAAGCAATCGTTTTACATTTTGATCAGTTGTGTTCAAAAAATTTAACAAAATAAACAAATTCTCTTGATGTTAAAGATCAGAATAGTTGCGCTAGTGCCCATTTTCGATTTTTGTTGGCTTCGAAAAGCAATTTTTTTTCCTTCAGTGCACGACGTAATTCAATCACATAAAAGTATTAATTAGAAAACGCATGATGTGTATTTTCCACGCATTTTCAAAGTTATTTAATTTAATACTTTCCACTTTAAAAAAGCTAAAATATGTTCAACACTCTTCCCTATAGTATAAATGTTAAATTAAATAAAGAAAAATTTATAAGAGTTGGTTGAATTTTAAAAAGTTACACAAATCAATTTCGCTTGAACATTTTTGAAAGTATTTTTTTTTTCACTTTCTTCATCCGCTTTTTGGTTTCCATGGTAATAATATAGTAATTCTCTTCTCAATAGGGTTACTTGTAAAGAAGGTGAAGGGGGGTGGGAGGTGGCTGAAGCAAGGAAAAAAAAGGACTATTTAGGTGAAGCGTAAGGCCGCGCATCACTTCACAGTTACTAATGGCTGAGATTAAGCAAGAAGGTACGACTTCGCCATCGAACAGGTAATTTCTCTTTTTTTATTCGAAAACCCATGCCGCGTTAAGTCGTCTTATTCTAAAATTGGATTTCTCTTTACTTCTCTTTTTCTGTTTTTTTTTTTTTTTTTTTTTTTTTTTTTTTTTTTTTNTTTTTTTTTTTTTTTTTTTTTTTTTTTTTTTTTTTTTTTTTTTTTTTTTTTTTATGTTGTTCAAATTCGATCTTTTAAAAAGGGAAATAATCACTATATTTTATTATGAAAAATTTAAGAAAATTATGACATTTGTTGAATGCACTTGTTTTTTTGTATACATTACTCTATGGATTATTGGTAAAATTAAGCTTAAGGATATCTTTTTTCTTCCTCTCTGTTTAGAAAAAGGGGCTTCGATTGCTGCAAAATTATATCCGAAATGCGTACAAGCAAAAGTTTTAAGTAAAAACACATAAAATATTCCCTTAGCATATTATATCTGTAGATTTATTTTTAGAAAATGACAATTTTTGTTGAAATAAGCTTAAATATATTTTTTTATGCTTGTGTTTCCGTTTAGAAAAGGGTACTTAAATTGCAACTAATTCATATTCAGTACTATATGGATCGACATTAGAACTCTATTGGATCGACAAATTAGCCTGAATATATTGAATGTTCCTTAAAGATATTATCTCATTTTCGTAGATTTTAGAAACTGCTGATTTTGGTGACATTTTTTTTCAACACATGTTACAGTGGATACTATTGCTGAAATAATTTTGAACTTTTTTTCATGCTGCTTCAATTTCGTAGGTGTTTAAATTGTAGCAAAATTAAAATGAATACTATAAGTGTCGATATTATAACTGGATGCATATTGATTTTATTAAAAACTAAAAGATAAATATATTAATTTTTCTCGGAATAAATAATTTTATAATAAAAAGTGGTTTAATTACAGCAATATTATAATCGCTATAATATGCATTGTATTTTTAGTGAGTGTACGTATAAGTGTTACATGTTTGTGTTACTTTTTTGTAGGAGATTTTTGAAAATTATTATTTTTATAGTATTTTTATCGAGCATTTTTCAGCATTATTTACAACATAAGTTTATAGATATTGTTTTGCTTTTTTTTGTTCAAAAAAGGATGTTTTTATTACAAAATTAACATTGGTAAATGCCTTTTCTTTTTAGTTCGAACTGAACTCTTACCAATATAAATTATTCCTTAGAAATATTATTTTATTCTTGGGCATTTCAGATAATTATGATTTTATAGTATTTCTTTATTTTTTTCATCTAAGTNTTTTATTATAAAAAATTTAAGAAAATTATGATATTTGTTGAATACACTTGGTTTTTTGTATACATTACTCTATGGATTATTGGTAAAATTAAGCTTAAGGATATCTTTTTTCTTCTTCTCTGTTTAGAAAAAGGGGATTCGATTGCTGCAAAATTATATCCGAAATGCGTACAAAGCAAAAGTTTTAAGTAAATACACATAAAATATTCCCTTAACATATTATATCAGTGGATTTATTTTTAGAAAATGGCAATTTTTGTTGAAATAAGCTTAAATATATTTTTTGTATGCTTGTGTTTCTGTTTAGAAAAGGGTACTTAAATTGCAACTAATTCATATTCAGTACTATATGGGTCGACATTAGTACTCTATTGGATCGACAAATTAGCCTGAGTATATTGAATGCTCCTTAAAGATATTATCTCATTTTCGTAGATTTTAGAAAATACTGATTTTTGTAAAAAAAAAAATTTCAACATTTGTTACTGTGGATACTATTGCTGAAATAATTTTTTACTTTTTTTCATGCTGCTTCAATTCCACTGTTGTTTCAATTATTGCAATATTGAAATGGATATTATAAGTGCCGATATTAAACTGGATGCATATTTTTTTATTAAAAACTAAAAAACAAACGCATTAATTTTTCTCGGAATAAATAATTTTTCTACTAATTTACACAATATTATAATCGCTATAATATGCATTGTATTTTTAGTAAGAACTGTAATCGAGGTTACATATAAGTGTTTCATATGTGTGTTACTTTATTGTTGGAAATTTTAGAAAATTGTTATTTTTATAGTATTTTTAGCAAACATTTTTCAGCATTATTTGCAACATAAGCTTAAGGATATTGTTTTTTTTTTCTTTGTTCAAGAAAGGATGTTTTTATTACAAAATTAACATTGGTAAATGCCTTTTCTTTTTAGTTCGAACTGAACTCTTACGAATATAAATTTTCCTTAGAAATATAATTTCATTCTTGGGCATTTCAGATAATTATGATTTTATAGTATTTCTTTATTTTTTTCATTTAAGTATTTTTAGAGATTGCTTGCAATATAATTTAATGAATATTCTTTTCCTTTATTAAAATAGGTGCTTTAATTTCAAAATTAAGACAGTTATAATGTGATATATGCATTTTGTTTTAGTGATAACTGAAAGCTTATGTATACTAATTATTTTCAGAGTATATAACTTTATTCTAGTCTGTAACTTCTACCCGACACTCAGTTTCCCGACAGGTATGTTAGCCCAATAACTCATTTGTCCAAAAACTCACTTACATTGTTAGAAATCTCTCAAAAAATGATTAAATAACAGTTATATTTGTTATTTTATTACATTTAAACAAAACAGTCAAATAACTATAAATAGCATGGTGTTTAAACTGTTAACTGTAAGTAAAAACTTCTGCTAAAACAATTAAAACTAAGCGGTTAAGCAACTAAAAAATTTTCGAACCAGCTAAACCCACCAAATGAAACCACTTAGTTCCTTGCAGCTGTATTGATATTATAGCCGAGAGTTAAAAAAAAGTAGTAAAAAAAAATTGTGAAGTTTTTTATTAACGGTTTTATAATCATACTAGTTGTAAGTGGTTTCGAAACTGGAATGGTAAAAAAAGGTTTTTCACCCTAAACTTTACTGTTAATTGAGTAGATAGACTGCCTCCAGTTATTTTTTTCATATTTCAGATAGAAAATTATAACAGCGTATCAGATAGATTTGTTTATCTGACAACTCCTTCGCTTGAAATAAATCTACGAAAACCCTAACTATTTGACAAATATTATTGAAAAAAACATTCACTAATTTATTAAAATTTATAATAATAAATAAATGTATATAAATCATATAAGCAATGGTGGAGTATTATATTAACCATAACCAAAATAATATGTGTGACAAAAAACTATAATAATCAATTAAAAAAAATTTCAAAAAATTACCAAAAATAGATCGTTAGCAAATTATGAGCTGAATTAATATTATCCACTGCGTATTATTTTTCCTCAGCTGAAATAAAAAAGATTAAGAAAATTTTATAAATCCACTGTCTCGGCAGAAAGCAAATATTTACTCTGATTTTTCTTATATGTTTACCCTGTCAGACAAATCTACTGTCGGGAAAATGAGCTGACGGGAAAACGGAGTTTTAAAGATGTCGGGCAACCGAGTGTAAAATGACATTATCCTTTTTATTCGTGAAGTAGTTTTATATGTATATCTATTTGCTTTCCGTACATGTTACTTTATATTATTTTAAGCATGACTTAATGGATATTTTTTCCTTTGTTTTATAAAAGAGGGCTTTGATTTCAAAATGAAAATTGTTAAGATAGGCATTTTATTTTTAGTGATTGTTAAATGTTTAGGTACATTAACTATTCGCTGGGTATATTTCTCTATTCATGTGGATTTTTGAAAATGTTGTTTTAGTAATATTTCTTTGTTTTCAGTACACGCTACTAAAGAGTTTATGTTACATGTAGTTATGGATATTTTCATTATTTTTTTAAATAAAAGGATGGCTTGGTTGGGAAATTAAAATAGATATGATATGCACAACGCATTTTATTTTTAATCAGAGCTAAGAAAACTGGGTTCATTTCATCATATTCATTAGGTGCATTATTTTATTCATGAAGATTTTAAACAAGATTGCTAGTAGTATTTCAGAGTTTAAAGTATACTTTACATTTACAATAATTGGTTTCATAGGTTTCTAAAAGTATCGTTTCTCTCTTTAAAAAAGTTGCTTTAATTTAAATAAGTAATTAAAATAAGTGATATAATGTGCTATATGTATTTTATTTTCAACGACAGCCGTAAATATGGGCATACTACATACGCTCTTGGTAATTTTTTTGTACTTAGAGATTTTAAAAAATGAGAATTTTTGTATTCGCTACAGTTCGATATACAGTATACTGGTTTTAGTATTCGCAACAACAAGTATAATTGGACACATAACTTAATGAAATTCTGCGTTTAGAAAATGTTTTCTGTATTTAGAAAAACGTGTTCAATTTTAAATTATAACTGTTATAATATGGATTTCATTTTTGGACAAAATTAAATTCTCTGAGTATATTTCATAAAAAAAAAACTTCATATTTAGTTTAAGAAAAACAAATAGTTTTATATGCATTATTTGTATAAACAACTTTAATGTATAAACAACAATCTAATGTTAAATTTGTCAGATTGTTCAATAATCTAACAAATATATGCATAACTCTGCAAACATTAGATTCAAATTTAGTTCAGTTATTGATTCATATTCGAAAATTCGCTATTGAATAAAGACAGATTGAAAAAAATTTATTAAGGAAATGATTTTTTTAACTATTCTGTTCTAATATGTTATTTATATAACGTCTATACATGTTTTTACTTAGTTACATACAATACAATTTTATGCAACAATAATGATACAAATTTTTTAAAGAAAAAATTATTGAGTCCTTCATATGATTAAACATTTCTAGAAGTTGTATTTTTTTGAGTATGATTATGATTAGAAGAAAATCTTTTAAAAGACATATAGTTTATACTACAGTTTAAATAGGGCATATTATTTTTACAGTAAGATATCCACAACTCTTTCTAAGAAAAAAGATTTAAAAATAAATAAATAAACAAAATATTTTCCGTATTTTTAAGAATTTAATGAAATAATTGCACAAAAAAAAAATTTGGCTTTTGAAAATTTCTTGATTAGATTT